TAACAATAATGAATGTTTGTAGTAACTAATTGCAAAATAGAGACTTTGTAATTTAATAATATAATTTTAATTCCTGTAATGATAGTCGTATGTATCAAAAGTCAAAAGTCCACTGCCACCGTAAGACTACTATCGGTTGCGCTGCAGCGCTTATACACACCTGCACACGCATATTTTTATCCGTGTGCGTACGCGTGCGTGTGTTTATGCGTACGCACGCGTTCTATGCACATTAATATAAAATTACTTACACATTGCCGCGTGAACATCACTCACGGTGGCAGTGGACTTTTAACCTTTGACTGTACATAGTTAATTAATAATAATAATAAATAATGTCTGGCAACATCAACGTTGCTGTGGACATAAGGCGCGGTGTTGTCGCCTCCTAATATGTCGGGCGAAATTCGCAGACTTCGCTTGACAGTCGCCAATATATGTCCGTGGCATATTAAATTCGTCTCCCAGTGTATCCTTGGCTTCATTTAGCAAATTATTAGTAAGTATTGTTGTATTGTTTGCAAAAATTTGGTAATAATTTTCAGTACATGGAAGGCATTGGTGGATTATTTTTTCACTACGATCTGATCGTGGACACATTCTTCGCTATATCTGGTCTACTTCACATGAAAGGTCTACTGAGCAGACGGCAAAATCTATTTGGTGTACTCTGGAAACGTTACATAAGGTAAGCGAATGTTTTTATAATGACTATCGTGAGACATACTAAATTAAGTAAAACCGCGGGTTACTCACGTGAATATACTGAGAAAAGCTCTACTAGTTTCGAACCACAGAGGGTTTCTTCCTCATGAGCAGCGTGCGCGGTCGCGGCGACGTCGCGCAGCTCACTCACAGCTCACGTGCACAAACTTATACCTCTATATCTGTATTTATTAAAAAAAAGTCGTGTTAGTCACACTATTTATAACCCTACAATAGCTAAATAGATTTGGCTGAAAAGTGGTGGGGAGATAGCTTCGAACAAAGAGGCGGACATAGGATACTTTTATTCAAGGTTTCCCAAAAATCATATAGGGACGGGAAATTATGGGATTGCGCATACGAAATCGTGGGCAGAAGCTAGTACTAATATATAAAGCTGAAGGAGTTTGTTTGTTTGAACGCGCTAATCTCAGAAATTACTGTTCCGATTTGAAAAAATCTTCTGTTGAATAATCCATTTACCGAAGAAGGCTATTGACAATTAAAATCACGCTTTGATGAATAGGAGCTGAACAAAGTGGGTGAAACAGTGCAAGTAGTTAGTATTTAACAATAAGGTTGAACCACGCGCATTTACATTTTAATGCTGTCCACTCGGGCAAAGTTAAAAGACCAGCTCTTAAAGACAAGAATATACAAGGCTACAAATGTCCCCAGACATGGTATCAGCGTCGCAGAAAACCTAACGGGTCGCGGAGAACCTAACAGGTTACCGGGGCTCCGGCTCGACGTGCAGGAGAAGGAACGGGGTGGTTTTTAGTCAGTAAGAGTCTGACACTCCCTCCCGCCTCACACGGGTGGGAGCAGTCAATCGATGATTTTCCCCCCTTAAAAAAAAGACGTGAGTCCGCGACTTTCTCAAGAATCAGAACGCGCCTGGCTTTTTTGGGGATAGAAAACTAGGTAGTGTGGAATTCTTACCTCACTGAAACCACCCCGGTGTACACCATCATCACCTATGAGGGGCACCGAATCCTCTATAATAGACCTGCTCCGGAACCTCCCAGTGAAACGCCTGTGACGGCACATCACACGGGAGTTAAGCATCTCCCTTAAGCCTATGTACAGAGAGGCCCTAGGAGTGACACATAGGTCTCCATAGGTGCTGTAACAGGCGTTGCACTGTGGCGGCTCCGGGGTTGGTCTACTAAGAGGACCCGGTGCCTCCTTCAAATGCGGACGATGGCCATCCAGAAGGTTTTAGTAAGGTAAAATTCCCACACTCCCTAGTCTTTTGAAGGTTTCCCCCGTCAACAAAAAAGGACCTTTGTTTCCTCAGCTTAATCAGGCAGAATAATATATTATTTGTTACAGATTAATAGGACCCTTCGCGCTTATCGTCTTCTATATAATATCCGTGTCCGAGCACTTTAGTTCCGGTCCGGGCTGGTTCGGATGGGAGGAGACAAGCATTTGCGAGAATTACTGGCTGCAAAACTTGTTCATGATAAATTCGGACATGGGGCAGATTGTGAGTAAACCTCATTTGTTATTCTTTTTTTTTAAACGTTGCCCCATACTGGGATTTTCTCCTGTGTCGTGGCTGCGTTTATAAACATACAAGTTCACATACACATGATGACACCCAGACCCTGAACAACAATCTGTGGATCGCACAAAGAGTTGTTCCGTGCGGGAATCGAACCCGCGGCACCTTGCGCTGCAGCCAGTTGCCCAGCCACCGCGCCTACCGTGCAGTCAAGCAATTCATTATTTTAATTCTGTTACATCATTGCTCACGTGACTTGTCCACCTTTTTTTTTAAATCAAAGTCAAAGTTAAAATCATTTATTTCAATTAGACCATGAAGGCACTTTTGAACGCCAACAAAACTTCAAAGTGAAGCTGTTTGCTCATTCCAATATGTAGATTCCTATGGAGAAGAACGAGCAAGAAACTCCATACGTTACTCTTTTCTGTGCTTTCCATCTTTATCTTAACCTTTAGTTCAGCGGTCTTAGGCTTTATCTTTGACTTTCCAATTTCTTCTGATATTCCAACTGGCACCATTTTCTCCAACATGTATATTTCTGTTCTCTGCCTCGTTAGCCGAGTGGTCGCAAGTGCGACTGCCGGGCAAGGGGTCTCGGGTTCAATTCTCGGGACGGAAAAAGTATTACTGGGTTTAAAAAAATCTCAGTCGTAGCACGAAGTCTGGAATTGTGTCCGATATATATATGGTAATAGGCCCACCGCCTATTATGGATTACATGGGACTCATAACATAAATAGTGAAAAGTGAGTGTTACATTGTACTGTGGCATAATGTGAATCTCTGTCTTCCTCTTCGGGGATAAAGGCGTGATGTTATGATGTTATGTATGTACATTTCTTACAGATACCTATTTTGTCATCACATATTTCAAATTATGCAACCTATTAAGGTTAAGTAACAAAACAAGAAAGATTGTGTACAATTAAATTGATATATCAATACATAGTATAAAACAAAGTCGCTTTCGCTGTATGTCCGTATGTATGCTTAGATCTTTAAAACTACGCAACGGATTTTGATGCGGTTTTTTTTAATAGATAGAGTGATTCTTAAGGAAGGTTTATATGTATAATACATGCATATTGCACCCGTGCGAAGCCGGGGCGGGTCGCTAGTAGTATAATAAAATTTATTATGCCTCTTGCAGTGTCATGCAGTGAGTTGGTACGTGTGCTGCGACTACCAGCTAGCAATTCTCGCGACTGTCCTTTTCTTCCTCTATAAGATGAACAAGATATTTGGCTATACAGTTTATGTAGCTGTGGCAATATTGTCTATGGTCATTCCTGGAGTGCTGACGTATTTGTTGCAAATGCCTGCGATGCCTTATATGGAATATGGGTAAGACAATAAAATTTTGTATTTATTTTTTTATGGCATAAGCCAGTAAACGAGCCGACGGATCACCTGATAGTAAGCAATAGGCCCATGTCCATGGGTGAACCCTGGACTGGCGTTACTAGCCGTTATCGGCCTTTTGAGATTAGGACTTTGAGGATTTTTGTGGATTCGGCGATTGGTGAGGGGAGGGGGGGTAATTTGACCTCCGGTTTGTTTTACGTCGGGCTTCTGTGAGGCCGTGGTATCGCTCCGGTCGAACCGGCCTGTTCGTGCCGAAGCATGGCTCTCCCAGACATGGTCCGGAATAACACATAGCTACTATTTATCCAACTGGAATGCGGGCGAAGCCGCGGGCTGACGCTAGTATAATAATAAGGTGAACTTTGTGCTAGTAGTATTGAGCATAATACAAGACGATGTTTTTATAAGCACATTTCTTTTTTTTTGTTTTCTCCTCTTATAATATCTTCTGATTCACTTCGTTGCAGAAACCAAGACAGTTACTCATGTCCCTGGGACGCGCCGGACTTCAGTGTTCCGGTGTTTTCATGGTTGTATCTACTGTAGATCCTGGCTTACAGGAGTTGCGGGTTTTGGGAGGTTGTGGCGGGCTTGTCTCAATAAAAAAAAGCATATTTCTTTCAGTAAGTATATACTCCGATTCCGCGAGATTTGGCAGTTCAACCACATCTACATAGCGTTCTACGGTCGCGGTGGTCCGTATGTCGTAGGCATCGCCATGGGATACATCATGGGCATCTACAAACCTGCTGACTATAGAAAATCTGTTACCAAAGTAAGTTTTCGTGAGGACTCTTTATCAACTTTTTATTCGTAATTTAAAGTTGTAGTAAGGGACATTGCTCTGCGTCCATACATTGTTGGCCCTGGAGCCAAGAGTATGGGATATTTATGTATTGTATTCCCTATAATTTTTAGACTCCTAGAAGATCTTGTTTTTATAGCGGACTAGCTGCAGAAAAGATATATTAAAAGAAGTTTTGATTATTGTATAATATTATTCTTACTACCTATTACGACGATTATTATTTATTATACTAGGCGAAGACATTTGCCTCACCCAGGTGTAAGAAGTTAGGCGATGATATTCCCCCCTGAAAAAAATCCATAAAAAAGAGCTAAATATAAATTTTATATTTCCAGACTTGGTCAATAATCACCATGGCGGTGAGTCTGAGTGGACTGGCAGTCATGATGGCTCTCGGCTATATAATAATCAATTTTATTCCACTGGAACCTGGCGTCGTTGCTGGTACCAGCAGAATAATATGGGCTGCGGCCATCTGTGGTGTTATAGGGATGTGTGAATATGGAACTGTTCGTAAGTATACCTAGAAAACTCTATCTTTTGCATCAAAACATCATAATATAAAAAATTTTTTATATTTTTTTTTCTCCATAAAAACCTTCACACCTTCAAACCTTCACCTTTTCATACCCTGTCATCATCCCAATTGTTAGTGCAAGGACTGTGCGAGACTTTGCCTCGTCGTTACCATTCTAAACACCCATGTTCTGACAGTTTGAGTATTTGAGCGACCCAACCAAATGTTCTTTTCTCTGGTATTGTTCGTCTTGATCAGTCACCGTCATCTGTTCATTTAGCTGATTGTAAACCGTCACATGCGTACTGCCGTCAGAACGGGTCCGCTCAAACTGTTGTGGTTCTTTCCTTAAACTGTCAAACACCAAGCGGTCACCGGTGATCGCAACCTATTGTTCTACATATAATTGTGTCTACAAAACCGGTACTCGACGAGTTAAAAGGCTAATATAGAGAAAACTTGCACGGTTCTCACACATAATCTTTCAATTCGGACAAGACTTCAATTTCAGACTTCAAAAGAGAGACTGACACTGAGAGATCAGACAATTCAAGACTTCAAAAGAGACGGGCCGCTGGGTTAGTTTCGGTATTTCTTTTCTAAGTAGTCAGTTAGGAAACGTCAATCTCATCGTCCGCTTTCAAAATTGACGTGTAAAAGTGCTGCCATGCAGCCTATTTGCAGAAATAAATTCACTTGTATCTATTTCCTTTCGTCAACAGCTGTAATTCCGAGTATTCTGGGCTGGTCCGTGTTCACGCCTCTCAGCCGACTGTCCTACGGCATTTATATGATCCATCCCCTTATCGTGCAGAGGCACAAGCTCTCTCAGCGATCGGCTCATCTATTCGACATATATTGCATTGTAAGTAGTAACTATATTTATTTGTTTTGTTTAGTAGGGAAAGACTCACCTTTGTTAATACACCGTGAAATCTATTTTGTTATCGTCCCGCGGCAAAACAACTTGCCATTAGGAGTACTTTCGATGTATGAAGGAAAAACCAACGTGTCTTCAAAGCCCGAGTGAATAGGTTGCTTATGGGTCGACGTGCTCCATCGTAGACGACATCATCGCTTACCAACAGGCGAGGTAGTGGTCAGACGTCCCTATTAAATATAAAAAAAAAAACAAAACAATAAAGATGTCACTATTTTTAGTATAAAAAAATTCATGAAACACTCGACGTAAATTGTATTGTTCCGTATTGTAGGTACATTACTTTGTACTTACTTTGACTGCACGGTTGGTGCGGTGGCTGGGCAACCGGCTGCCGTGCAACGTGTCGCGGGTTCGATTCCGGCACGGGACAACACTTTGTGTGATCCACAAATTGTTGTTTCGGGTCTGGGTGTCATTGTGTATGTGAACTTGTATGTTTGTAAACGCACCCACGACACAGGAGAAAATCCCAGTGTGGGGCAACGTTTCTTTAAAAAAAAAAAAAATTTTGTTATATTCCGACGATTTTTGTTCTTTTCTTTACGTTTTTAAGATGTTATTTATTATGTATTTATGTAAGTATCTGTTATTTTTGTTTTTCATAATCTTTGGTTGTGTGCCATTTGCCAAATAAATGCTTTTTCTTTCTTTCTAAATTTGTAGGCACTATTCGTATCGCACGTGCCACCCGCCGAGAAACACCTCTTCGAGAATTATACGGCGTGATGTTTTGATAATGTACTATGAGTTCGTATGCCCTTTCGAAGTTAGCATTTTGCAATGGTTCACCAGTTATATTTTGTTTTAAACATTTTATTTCTTTGTAAAACTATTGTACTACGAAGACGGAACCATTTTACTTCGAGAGGAAAACAAAATAGATTGCATGATGTATAAAGTTAACACTATTTCATAACTATGACTGTTGACGCTGAACTTCTTGTCATTATGCCAAGATTCGTCCACGACCTTTTAAGGCTATCCTATTTCATTTCAGCTCGTCGATTCCGCGGGCGTATTGGCCATATCAATAGGGTTAAGTTACGCAATGTGGCTGTTTGTGGAGGCGCCACTGATCAATATCAACAACTATATCTTCTTCAACAGGTAAGATATCTCTATCTAATGCTTTATTGTTAAAGATGAAGTGTTTCTTTGTTTGTTTAACCCCGCTAATCTCCAGAACTGCTAACTCCATTTGAATAATTATTTTTCTGTTGGATAGGCGATTTATCGAGGAAGGATATAGGATATAAACTACCCCACTACGATCAATAAGAGCCGAGCAAAGAGGTTGAAATAACGCGGGAGTAGCTAAGTCTATTTTTAAATTTAGAATATTTTAAACGGTTTTGTTTTTGCTCGACCTGTTTGTTTGTTCATCTGGGCCAAATTTAGTAATTGAAATTGTATCCCCTTCCAGATACCAGACTGATATGATATTTGGCTTCCTCGTTGACCGAGTGGTCGCGAGTGCGACTGCCGGGCGGGTCTCGGGTTCGATTCCCGGGTCGGGCAAAGTATAACTGGGCTTGTTAAACAAATCCTCCCTCTATTACATGGGACTCATAACATGATAGTGAAGAGTGGGTGTTACATTGTACAGTAGCATAACGTGCACCTCTGTCTACCCCTTTGGGAATAAAAGGCGTGATGTTATGTTTTTTATGTTGTGTATGATATTTGGTACAGACTCTTTAGAACAATACAATTTGAAGCCGTTTAACATATTTTTTATGTATTAATAAGTAATACATAAAAAATGCTAGCTAGACTAGACGTCAGATTATATTGGTCGGACTTCCAAAGTGGATTTTAGGTATGGTCTTCCAGACTATAGTGGGTCAAGGGAGTTCGTAGTAATTCCAGTTAATATAGTTTTCCCTCTTACAGATCAAAAGGAACAGAATCAGACAAAAGAAATGGTGAGAATGGAGTTCAGCATCAGAATGGAGTCGCTAATACAAACGTTTTGTAAGTTCAACAATCTTGAGTCATAAATAAACAAGCTTAGAGCCGAGTTTTCAATGCTCAGTTAACTTTTAAGTTTTTAAGTGTGGGAGAGTCATGCTTCGGCACGAATGGGCCGGCTCGACCGGAGTGATACCACGGCCTCATAGAAAACCGTCGTGAAGCAACGCTTGCGTTGTGTTTCGTCGTGTGAGTGAGGTTACTGGAGGCCCAATTACTCTCCCCTTTCCCAATCTCCCCAATTCCTGAATACCTAACGATCCTCAAACTCCTAATCCCCGGCTGGTAACGCACATGTAATACCTCTCACAACTTATTTCAAGTATTTTATATTCTATGTACATTACTTTCTTATATTTTGATGATTTTTGTTATTTTCTTTATGCTTTTATGTTTGCTTTTGATATTATGTATTTGTGTAAGTATGTACTTGTATTTTTTATTTTTCATAATCTTTGTTTGTGTGCCATGTGCCAAAGAAATGCTTTTTCTTTCTTTCTTTCTTTGTTTCTTTCTTTCTTTCTTTCTCTAGTGTTCCGAGTGTCCATGGGCGACGCCGATTGCTTACCATCAGGTGATCCGGCGTCTCGTTTACCGGCTTATACCATAAAAACAACTTTTATCACAAGAATAACTGAATATTTCTCAATTATTCCATACTAATAACTGTCAAATAACATAACATCACGCTTTTTATCCCCGAAAACGTAGGTAGAGGTGCACATTACGGCACTTAATGCCACTGTACAATGTAACACCTTCTTTTCACAATTTATGTTATGAGTCCCATGTAATAGGGGTGAGACTACTGTCAAATGTCAATATTATTCTACAGTTAAGAATTAACTGATGATAGAAATGTCGGCTCTTCGTCTGTTAGGGTATAATTCTAAAGATTAATTTTATTTCTGGACACAGGTCACCTGGAATACAACAGAATAAAGGTCGTGGTGAGAATGAAATGCAACATCAGGATGGAATTGCTAAAACCAAAGCCTTGTAAGTCAAATATATTCTGGCCGGGCACTAGATTAATATACTTCTATCATAATAATCATTATTAAATCACGCTTTTAACCCCGGAGGAGTAGACAGAGGTGCACATTACGACACTTAATGCCACTGTACAATATCA